TCCATCACAAAGGTGCAGTAAGAAGAAATTTAGGAAGAATTTAACATTTCTGAATGTGATATTATTACAATTTTGCAAGTTGAGAGATTTTGTTGTTATTCCTGTTGATTCTTCATTTAAATGATTAAATGACATAACAACGTACACAGCGCTTGAATATGAAGTCAAGAAGCAAAACTGCTTACCGAAAAATACTCTTAGACAGAACTCATGGGCGATGGCTGCTTTTCTCAAGAGTGGGCTCTTGGAGAAACGGGCAGGTAACTTTCATTTAACGTTTTCCTTAATGCTTAAACAACCCTAGGGTTCAGGATATTGATTGGTTGTCCGGCTGAAGTTGAAAATATTTTACTTGACATATAGATTCGTGTTTTTGTTGTATGCTTTATATACATCCTGCATTGTCTTTTTTACCTCATTCATGAACTAAAACAATATTTCAAACGTCCCTCTGAAGCCTTAAAGCATACCATTGCCTTAGCGTTGCAAACGCAGTCCAGTCACCGTTCGAATACTCCACCCCCTGCTCACCAGTTGAATCCCCTCATCCCAAACCGAAAATGAATGTACATCGACAGTGTCTGCTATTAAGAGTGAACCGGGCATAATGCACAAGGCACAGTACCTAAAATATTAGCACAAAAGCGGTCGTAAAATGTAGATACATTTATAGATTTAAATAGATAGATAAACGCATTTCATTTCATTATTGCTTGTTTTTTCTTATTTATAAATACAGTAACTATACTTGTAAAATGACGAAATAAATTGGTCAAAGGACTATTGCTATCTGTTAATTTTTAAGAAGGGAATTACACTATAAACTTAACTATATACATATAAATTTTTCCCGCATAAAGCGAGCACATAACGGGGTTTTTCTTTCAGTTGAAAACAAACATGATAGTTATATCAAACACTTTACTGTGATGTGTGGGATATATCAAACACTTTTAAACTACTCTGATTGGCCGAGAGAAAACAGCTGTGGTCTAAATATGTATATCAGTTCAGTCTAGCTTTGACAATAGCTCGATTAACGCTATCTACTCGTGTATACTAAAACTAAAATGGTGGGGCAAAAGTCTCTTTTCACTGACCAAAAACGGTCCAATATCAAGAACCGATGTATTCTTGGTATACAGGCGAAATATATATTTAATTAAATATGCCGTGTTAATGGAAACAATGAACTCTCCTTTTCATCATTCTGTCACACGGTGGTGTAAGAAATCTTAAAGTGGTTTTGATTCAGTAAAAGATACACTTTATGCACGTTGTCCGAAAACTGCAACTTCGCCAAAATGGGTGAAAAAGAAAAGGATTTGATTTCTGCTGATGAAAGATTTACAACTAGGTATATAGCTGAATGCGTTGGTATCTCTGTAGGAGCCGCTCATTCATCAGACATGATTTAAAAATGAGAAGGATAAGTGCCAAATGGATACCCATCTCTTTACGAAAGAGCAAAAACTTGCTCCGGTAAAATCTCCAAACAATTGTTGAAACAGCTAGTTCCTTAAATACAACAATCGATCTTTTGCAATTTTCATTACTTGCAATGAGACGTGGATTCACTTTTATAAGCCCAAGCGAAAGATTCATAACAAAATATGAGCAACCAAAGAAAGTGAAAGACCTTGCATAGGAAAACGCACCATGAGCGTCAAAAAGGTCACATGTGTGTAATTTTTTTTACCAATCAAAGTCCCGCTATTCAAATTGTCGTAAGAAAGGTAAAATCTGTAAGTGCCAAGTTTTACAAAGGCAAGGTCCTTCATGAATTAAAGAAATATTTCAAAAACCGTCGACCAGCAATTGGTCTCCGTGATGTCAGGTTGTTGCATAAAAATGCTTCGTCACGCAAAGCGGCCATTGTACGAGAATATCTGAAACAGGAAAGGGTTTTCGAGCTTCCTCATCCTCCTTATTCACCGGATCATGCCCCTTGTGACTTTTTCCTATTTCTGAGGCTCAAAAACACCTTCCTGGAAAAAAATATCAAACGCGAAAAATCTCAGTTCGGCTATTTACCAGTGTCTGAACAGTATACCTCAAACGCATTTAAAAATTGAATTAAAAGACTAAAACTTTGAGTATCACAAGGTGGTGAGTATTTTAAAGGATTGAGATAATTATTTTGGCACTGTTTTAAAGCACTTCTGAAAATTGACCCAGTTGCATTCATATTTGAACACCCATCGTATCTTATGTGGACTTGTCAATATCTTCTTATTTAGTGCAACAATTATGATGCGAACGTTTATGTAAATATTCCCACAGAATTAACGTACTTGCTATAAATGGGACAAATGTTAATTCTCTTATTATTTCATGCGCATTATTGTGATAAATGACAAAGAGTAAAATCCGTACAGTAAGTTAAAAGTAACCATAAAATCTCTAAACTCTAAAAAAAATCTAGACCTGGTAGATCTTCTTCGTGGCTTATTGAAATCAATGCTTCTGCGGAAAACTAGAATTTACAACAAAGTGGCACACGTATCTCTTCTGCAGCCGACAAACAGTATTTATCCGTTCATACTATGAAAATAAGTAATAAAACAAAGCAACAAATTGCAAATTTGTCTACATTTTACTATTGCAGCTACAATTCATCTTCATCGATAGTTAGTTAGTGGGGTTTCATTATTTTGTTTGTTTCATTATAAACAATGAATATGAAAAAGGTAGACAATTGAAAACAAAATTGCATTTTAAATCAACCATAAGCCATAGCAGCTTTTGATAAAAAAATGGAGGCTGTTCCCATCATATATAGGTACCAATACCACATTGTAACTATGGTATTAGTTGTTACATCAATAACTGTAAAGCAACTTTACTTATAAAACAAATCAAATAAAAACATTAAACAAGTAAACAAGAAAATAAGTATTTCTACTATTCTGTTATTTTACTATAATCATATTATTCATTAGATGATGTATTTGCAATAATGAAATGTTATGAAATAAATATATACATTCTGGTGTTGAAATATTTATATCAAAGTCACAGTAAACTATTGATTACCCTTTAAATACGTCACATATCATATCTCGGAATTTCTTTAGCCTTAACCTAAGTCGTTCTAGTGAAATGTTTATACAGCAGATCATCGGTCATTGTATAGATAAAGGCATAAAAACGCATCAGCCGCATGTCGGCTATGTTTGTGGTTGAATTCCTTTCATTGTAAAATCGCACATTTATAGAGACCAACAGTATCCAACCCATACTTTGTCAATCAAATGTTGAAATTCCAGCAAATGAACAATTTTCTTTATTCCTTTTCAGTATTAAACTAGAAACGTTTTACAACACTTTATTATTAGATCGCTCATCGCTTCCATTTACTTGTGGCTAGGGCAACGGTTTTATATAAAGATGGCTTGTCTAATCTTGCTCTGGCAGTAAACCACATCTGTGCAGGTGATGCACGCGATTGTGAATTAGCACGCGATCTCGGTGGACTGTCAGTGTCAATCATTAAATGAGCATTGTTTATTTTTATTTCTTTCATTTCCTCTTCGTCTTTCAGCTCCTTCCGGATAGACTCAAACGCTTCAGAACCTTTTGGTAATGTTGGTAATTTATCAAAATGTATGTTTTTACCAACATGTGATTTCACCTCCGATGCCTTCATTCTTTTTAAAAATCACAAAATATTCTTCTTTTTTTCTGTAGACAATTATGTTACTGCTTTGATGCAAACCCGGGTTTGTTGAATGTATCTTTACAGTTTAAACTACACGCTTAGTTTCTTAATATGAGTATCCTTTAGAAACTAAATGTTTTAATTTTTTCCATCAGAAATCATAATGAATTTCTTCAGTTAACCTTGGGCGTTGTGGGACAGTCTGACATTTCTCCTGCTTATATGTTTCTGAACTGCGTCATCAAAGTTTATAACAAGCTTGTTTTTCGGATTGTCAAAATATTTTTTCATTCTAGAAATCTACCTTTTCCACTTCATTAGAAGATGTTTTTTATTTGCATTAATTTTGAAAAAGAGAAATGGTCAATAGAAATATATCTTAAACAAATAATCCACGTTAATTGGGAGTGTACAAGACGTTCTCAAAACATATCATGACCTTGTTTGAACGTTTTAGCAATCACGTTCATACTTAACAAGCCAAAATAAAAATATTTTGATAACTTCTAACAGTCAAAAACCTGTTTGTTGGTATTAAGATTTATTTAAACTAAGAGAATATCAATTTCATATTCATTTATGTTTTCGTTTCCTTGTATATTTGTTTTAATTCTAAAGACAGGGAAGGTTAAAAACAAGAAGAAGGACGATTGTTGGAAAAACAAATCACACATATCTTAGATGTTTCTATCATTGTAATTGCTAACACACACCTATTCCAAGTGTTTGCGGCAATGTCGCTGTTAATTTGTTGCATTCTCACGTATTACACACTTACAAAGTATTACAATACTTTCATCATCATGATATTTTCGAGTTATTTCTGTGGTTAAAGTGATTACATGACATTAAGAGGAATGCCTCTAACAGTACAAGTATTTCACGTTTGAATTACTAATAATGTGTAGCTTATGCACGGGTCCAGAGGAGGGGCTGTTTGGGTTAAAAACCCCACACCCTTAGATTTTGCTATCATGTCATAAAATATCATACACATGTATATCAAGGTCTTGGTATAAAACGTTACAGTGCAAATCAAGCAAATATTTGACCAAAGACCATCCCAATGAAAATAAAAATGTGACGGAGGCAAAAACGCGAGTTACCTTCGAAGCTTAAAAAATCTAGTAAAATTTTAAAACCCTCTGATATATATAGTACCATTTTGTTGAAAGTTTGTGATCCCCTCTGTTTAAAAAAAATCCTAAAACCGTACGTGCAGCTTTTCGCACATTTTCCCCTAACAATTTCATCAGCAGAATATAAATTAATATGTACGAGTACTGAGTATAAGTACTTCTTTTTTTCTTGTAGATGTATGTAGTACATCTCTTAATGTATAAAACGTATTTCATTTCAAGGGCAAATTCATAGCAAAGAGCATGATAATGAGAATTGATGTTATTATTATTTAAACGTAATACATAATAATTATGGTATAGTAACATACAAGTAGAAAAAAAGGTTTAACATAGCAATATCTTCCGTTAAGTAAAACAGCATAACACTATCCTACTGATTATCGGTTATACGATTCCATTTTCGTAAACATAAATAATATGACAATCAATAAAAAAACAAGAATAAAGATCAACAAGGTAAAGGCAACGTACATATGACGCAGCCTCCGACACACCCAAGTAGGGCACCCAGAAGACACACAACAATTCATCTCAAGTATTGATACAGATTCTAACAACACGCAATTTAAAGACTTTAACAATCATGATAACATTTTAAAGTGTCCTATTAATTATTAAATCATGCAAACTTATACGGCAGCTTCTTTCGTTTTTGATTCGTCAACTTTGTCATCTTTAGTAACTTTTGTATGTTCAGATCGCCCGTCAAAGTCGGCTTGTTTTTCTATTTGGAAGTTTATTGTCTCCCCTAGAATTATTTTCTCCGAGTCATTTTTCTTGAAGACGCTTAGCTGGCCTTGTGGCTGGGTGTCTTCACCTTCAGTTTTACCGGCTGAATGTAATTTCAACTGTTTTGTAGCTATTTCTTTTTGTGGATAGAACGCCATTTCCATCTGAAATTAAAGTGAAAGCAAAAACGTCAAATTTTCCATTAAAGTAACATAACCAACTACACAACATATGTAAAGATATGAAATTTACTGTTGGTTGTATTTTAATGATAACACAGTTAAATATATCGTCAGTAAACAAAGTTTTAACATCTTTTGACAAATCTTGAATTGTTACAATTATATCTATGCCTTTTATATTTGTTACAGTAGTACAAGAATGGTTGCATTTCTAATAAGAACGCATCTAAGGATGCGTGTTATACCGGGTAATTGAATACAGTCTGGTCCTTAATGACCATTAATGAAGAAAGGAGGATGGCTAAATCTGAAATCATCCAAAAGTAAGACATCAGTTTTACCACAAAGTTTTCTCTCCTTTTTGTATACAATGTATAACAATAAAAACTTATTTATTACCTACCAGAATGACAGCACGTGGGATGTGACCTTGTTCGAAAATGAGGTCATTCGGAAGAAGCAAGATTTATATTACAACTTAAAGGTTCACTTATCTATTTGCTTTATGGTTTTATTATACAATAATTGTCACAAGGATAATGTCCGCTTCTGCTTTGTTTGCACAGAGAAAAGATTAGAAAAGATGGGTATTTCGACTGAGGAAAATAAAAGTCAATAATGTTTTTTTAACGCGAACCAAACACTAGATAAATATTATGATAATTATTATCGGACAAAGACTCACTATACCTTCTCTGAGTAAACAGGGGTTGCAGTTATCTCCCCTTCAAATTGTAGTGACAGGACGTCTCCCTCTAACAAACAGAACTGAGAACTTGGATACCCTCCCACAGAATACCCTAGTTCTTTTAACTCGTAGATTCCTGGAAGAAAACAGATATGATACATGCTTATGGACCAATTAGATATTGACCAATAAAAATCATTACATTCGGACAGACTTCGGAACCTTGAGGGTTTTATAATATTTGCAGCCTAAATTTAGTACTTTTATTTTGAAACCTCTGAAATTAACATCTGACTGATTCATTTCCATTGCAAACCCAGCAATCTTTTTAAACTTTGAGAAACTATTCTTTATATACGTCTTTAGCATTAAGTAATGGAAATGTCGCAAATCCATTTACCATAAGAACCAAATTAATGGTATTCCAACCGTTTGATTAATTGTAGGTTTATTCAAATAAGCACTTGCCACTCACATGTAATTTTAAAGATACAATACAATTCCTTTAACACATTAGACAATATATAATGTGCATAATATATAGAACACTTTGTTGTTATTTAAAGGTCATTACAAGATAAAATCCGATTACACTTATACAAACAAAATAAGTATTGACCCTTGATGTTTGTCTTTCATTTGTAAAATAATGATTACATGATGTTAAAAGTTTATTTAAGGAATTCAACCGTTAAAATTGTCTATAAAACTTTTAAGAATATTTATAATTTGATTTAAATAGAATCGTAACTTGTAATTAAAAGATAATGAAAACTTTCTTTTCATTAAGGTACCCAATTCAAAATTCTAATTGTAAAAACATGACCTATACTGGAAAGCGTTGCAACGGTATTTACTCAAATCGGGCAAAGGACAGCACAAAATAAGATTTTCAATTATATATATTTTTTATTATACTTCTTAATTATCCTTGCATATCTTTCCGCTTTAGTGCTTCAGCTCATCTATGTAAGAAATTCAAATTTTATGTTGTTTTGTTTTTGTTTGTTTTTTGTTGTTGTTTTTTTGTTTTTGTTTATTTTTAGTTTTTAGATCTCTGTAGAGTTCCTTTAATATACAGAACCATTTTTACATAGTTTGACTGGATATCTGTGATTTCTGTACATATTTATATCTCATGCTAGAATGACTCACTTAATTTATACACTCCTCTACATTTTGAGTCATGAAAACATTTAAAGTTTTCAAAGTCAAAATCAAAATATGGAGGCAGGTTGCTTTAAGCCTTTTGAAGTAAGCGTAAAGGTTGGTGCACCACGTATGGAACTTAGACATTACTCTGATTAAAAGATTACCTTTCGATTTTAAGCATGAAGAAACGTTTTTAGAATTTCACCAATTATAGTTTTAATGTTATTGTATGGAAGTATTTTGCTCTGAATATACAGAAATAAGATTCCATTAAGAATGTAAACTTTTAATGTGTGAAAGTTAAACACACGTAGAAAAGTTCTGAAGTAGAAAGGTTCTGAAGAAAAGACGCGTGACAGAGTGAAATTACAACATGGTCCATGAAATACATGTATAAGTGGTTGTTTAGCTTGTCTATTGTAGGCTAAGTGATGCTACAACATTAAGCGCGTTGGCGAAGGGAAATACATTACCAATGTTTGGCTTCACAGATATAAAATTAGATTATATTCAGAAAATAAAGGAGTAAACAGGATTTCTTGTAACAAATAACATCTACAAATAAAATAATATGATTTATATATTATACAAGAAGAAATTAAATATACCTCTTTTAACAATTTTAGATCCTAGACAAATGACGACGGCTTGTGTGGGATCGTCTTCTCTTTGTCTGAACAACAGCCTCACAAGGTAATGACTGGTGTGATCATGTAGCCACTTTACAGCTTCAAACTTCTCCTCCGCACTCATGTCTTTAGGCAGTTCCAAACCAATTATTCTAAAAGACAAACAGCAAAGATTTATTTCAAAATACACCTTAAAATTGATTTTAACACTCGTGTTTTTAGGAAGTTTCAAACTAACTATTTTAGAAGATGTATAATAAATATGTGGAAAACAAACACTTTACAATGCATTGTTACACTGATGCTTTAATCTAAAACAATTTATCAAGAAAAATGTACAAGCAATAATCATTTTAAATACACTTTACGATATATGTTAACACTCTAGTATTAAAGAACTTTTAAACCAATTATTCTAAAAGACGTATAGCAAACATTTATTTAAAAAATACTTTAAAGTGGCTTTTTAACACGATCTTGAACGTGAAGAGGTTTTCATATTTCTGCAATATGTGGGGGTATGCTATATAAAGTGTTATTATTTCACGATAACAATGTATTTTTCACAATCCATAGCCATTCTTTATATCGTTATATCGAGCATACCCATAAATTGATTGTTGACCCTGTGATAATTTCATTAGCAGAATATTGTTTTCCCTTACAAAGCCTTTACTGTTTTTTTTGGGGTTTTTTTGTAAATTTTTTTTTTGTTTTTTGTTTTTTTGTACTGTTTTTTACCTGTATTTTTTAGCACCTGCCATTAGATGGACCGCCAGCTCTTTTTCTCCTTTACTCCATTCACAATCCGCCAATGTCCAACCATGGTCGTCTAGGCTGAACATAGTATATTTACATTCAGCATCTGGAAACAAGAAGGAGTATGCTTTATCATTCTAGGCTTTTAATTTATTTAATAAAGCCAGGTTTCAAGCCAGTATCTCACGAGCGGTATACAGTCTGTTTAAAAACAAAATTGATGAACATTTTAAGATTGTAGTGCAGTGTTCGTATCTTACATGCTCAATGTTATTAGTATTGTAGGCTTACATGTTTATAGTATTGCCCCCCACCCCGTAATTATTGCTTTATATCTAACAAAAAAGTTACAGTATAATTTCAAATATAGCATTCATAGAAACAAGAAAGGTATTGTTTAAAGTCACAACAAGTACATGTTAAATCAAAATAATTATTGTTATATATGATACATGGAATTGGCTCATTACGGCTGTGACAATCTTATTGAATTACTTAATATAATTCCAGGATTCAAAGAAGCTGATGGGATTCGAAGGCATGCAGGAGAGTGACAAGTTCGTCGAAGCGAGCGACCATGCCCACTCGGCCTCGGAGGACCAAAGCACTGACTATCTAAAATGTACTTTAAGTATATCTTTTACCATATAATATCAATTCATTGCCACAACATTACTAGCTTTGTACGTATACATATTGTGGGTTCGAATCCCATCACGGACTTTGAATCCTGATATGTGAAGACGTTTTCCATGTGGCTAAAAGGAGGTAGGTAATGGTGTTACGCAGGAGTCTATATTATGCACGAAATAAATTCTGAGATTTTACTACACAGCCGTCATCTGACCTTAACCCTACCACAAAAATATCATTCTCTAAAAGAACTCGGAAGTAAATATGAGCCGCGTCATGACAAAACCAACATAATGGGTTTACGACCAGCATGGATCCAGACCAGCCTGCGCATCCGCGCGGTCTGACCAGGATCCATACTGGTCGCAAACCCATTATGTTGGTTTTGTCATGGCGCGGCCCATATCATAAAAGATAGTTACCTTTATCTTCTGGTAGCTGCATAATTACTGAGAAATCTTCCTTAGTCATTTGTTCGCAGATAATTGAGACAAACGATGTACAGGACATGATCTGTTTACATTCGTCGTGGATCTCTATAGCTGTAAGCATCTCCCGACGGTGAGTATCGTGTACCTATATATTACCATAGTATTATTATTATCATCATTATTATTATTATTATTATTATCATCATCATAATCATCATCATCATCATTATTTTTTTATTTATCATTATTATTATTATTATTATTATTTATTATTATTATTATTATTATTATTATTATTATTATTATTATTATTATTATTATTATTATAATTATCTAATTTTTTATTATTATTATTTATATTTTTATATTAATCATTATTATTATCATCATCATCATCATCATAACTATCTATTATTATTATTATTTTTTTTATTATTATTATTATTATCATCATCATTATTACCATCATTATTATTATAATCATAACCTTGTGATAAGGTGAATTTACTCTTAACTTCCGGGTGTTCAATATATTTAAATTACGCCTGGGCTCGTCTGTTTCATACAAGGTTAAATATGGTAAATACAAACTTTGTCTTAGGACTTTTGGAGGGCACTGCTAATTACTATTTATCTTGGTAAAGTGCGATCATATACCACGTTTGACTTTTTGAATATTTTATTTTATATCGTTTAATTAATACATGTAAACATAATTTATTGGAACAAAGTACAGCGCATTTTATATACCAGCTTGTTTCATAAATGGTAAACACAGTTTGTTCTTGACGTGCATCTCAAACGCTTTCTGAACCTCGTACATCATTACTTGCGGAATTTATAACTAATATTATAATTTCAAAATTATTATACAGTTGCATTGACCAAGAAAAATATCTTCAACTGATACGATGACGGCGATTTGTGATGGCTAAAAATCTCTAAATCAAATAAATAATCTTTTAATGAAAAAACACCATAAATAGTTCAACATATCGCTCCGGCGTCTTGCTCGACTTTTATTTTTTACGCTTTTCATATCAAAATGCGTTTAAGATTGAGATGAAAAAAATACGTGCAGCCACGTAAAACTAAACACTCAGTCTAGCTATTAAAGAAATATTTGCAAATGTAAAAAAAAAAACCGGACAGACGGTGTATTGATACATATATTTAAGATATGATATCAAACTAGGTAATTCAAACACTTTTCTGAAATCAATGCACTTCTAGCTTATAATTGTGCAAATGACCCAAAGACATATTTTCACATACTTTACATAAATTTAGCACTTTAACTGGTAACTTGAAAGGAATCATATATCAATTTCATCAATCAGCAGCCATATTGAAAAGCCATTAAAGTCAATTTAATTTGCTGTACAAAAAGGGTATCAATTAAATGACCTACAAACCCATAATGTTAAAAAGCGCAACCAACATGATCTTTAAAGTCTATTTTAAAAACTCATCAAATTTTACGATAAAATGAGTCTTAAGTGAAATACCGGTTAATGTGTTAATGATGCGTGTAAATGCATAAATAAATCATTTAGCTAAGATTTCGGTCGACGATACGTTTTCAGTGGCGCGTACTCAGTGGTGAAACTGTTAAAGAAATCAACTCTAAAACTTTATTGGATCGCATTCAAGTCTTTAAGTGAAAAAAATCAAATTATTCAAATTTAAGATTGGTCTATGACAGTCTGACAAATTTGCGTACATCTTTCATGTGCCAGATATTATGTCAATATTTGGCATTTAACTATATCGGCACAACTACCAAGCAACTAAAAATGTAATAAATATGAAGAAGTATCTAATTCGTAACGAACTAAGGGCGTGGTCAATAGTTTGCATATACGAACTAGCTCAATCAAATCGAGCCTGCAACTTTTTCCATTTTTGCCTTTTTGGGCGTTTTGTACGAATTACAATTAGTTTTTATTAAACGTTTCAACGAAACAAACTTTTATCTACATCACTCGCTTAGATTTTTCATACAGGTCTTCACAAAACTCTCTTACCAATAATTTCACTTCAGTTCTAGATTTGAAAGTTTCCTTCGGCATTCTTAGAGTAACAGACTGGTCGTATTTTGACGTCTGGTCGACGTCACTCTCTCCGGCAATGATGTACTCGACCTTCTCTCGTGCTATAGCTATCAGCTTTATGTCTGTAAGGTCAGATAACTCCGTACATACTATTTGCACGTCCTGAAAAAAAGGAATTAAACCTTTGCATGCTGGGAAAATTGTCGTCTGTTAATTTTCGACTGCTTAATTTTATTGTATTTCGAACTTTCGACGTGAACGACATCCAGAGAGTCACTTACACAGTATCTTCACGTGCACGAAAACTGCATTGATATGTAAGTACATGTAATTCAGCGTTTCAATAAACATGGCCGACTTACATTTAATAGGCGTGAACTTACATCAAATGAAGACGGTGTTTCATCTATAGGATCGCATGGTTCCCAGTCGCCACCGTTCACAGATTGTATCAAACTTGCTTCCTCGAACTCGTACACATGTCGATGTGGTACAAATAATTTAAACGATTCTCCTTCCTGATATGACAAAAAAAAGAAGTGCAAGATAAAAACAATCATCTAGAATTTCTCTGTTTGACAAACACAGATTTTTCTAAATTATTTAATTTATTGCGGCGGAGACTTCAAGTTTATCATTTATTCTGTTTAATGTTAGGAAAAGTATACTTCAGAAAAAATGGCTATTAACATTCATATACTTTAGAAATCCTGAGGGCAAGTAGACTTCGGGAAAAGCGTTGTAAACATGCATATACTTTAGAAAACTTGAGAAAAGGTTGACTTCCGAAAGGGGCTTTAAACATTCATATACTTTGGAAATCCTGAGGAGAGGTAGACTTCAGGAAAAGGGCTATAAACATTTTTATACTTTGGAAAACTTGAGGAAAGGTTGACTTCGGAACATTCATATACTTAAGAAATCCTGAGAAAAAAGGATGATAATAGTCAAATACTTGTAAACCTGAAAGAAAAGTATAGCTTTAATTTAAATGCTTTGAAGAGTCATGTTCATTAAGTTTAAGAAAATGTAGACTGCAACACAGGACTATAGACAATTACTAAGTCTTGTCAACCTGAGAAAAAAATAAAGTAAAAGCACTCGAGAATAATGAGAAAGGGTAATGGAACATGTGTAAAAAATTAAAACAATAACAAGTGTACAACAAAAACTAGAATATATTACTTTCAGAGTAAAATCACTGCCTAATTTCTTCTGAAAATGTATCTGGAAGCTGACAGCTCTTTCACCTTCGACAAAATCCGGAAGCATGTTATTCTCGAGTTCATCTATGATGTCACACGAGATACTCTCTACACCAAACTCTTGACAAGTCGTCTGCAGGACCGCGCCAACACCTTTATGGTATGATAGATTTCCGTCTATTTCACTGTCATTTCGTTTATATCTGTGAAAAGAAAATAATTTAAATTTTAAAATCACCACAATTATTTAAAGAAAGTCTTAACTTTGAAATCAAAAAGCACAAAGTTTCAACTAATCCATTTATAGTGGTACTATTTATTGAATATAAATATAAGTGTTTAGTTTAATAGTCATTTCGTTTTCGGCTATATTATTTCCAAAGCGCTCATTAGAAAAAACGAAAGTTGATTTCTTTAAAAAAAAGAGAAAAAAAAGAAAAAAAGGAGTAACGAAATTTCAAGACTCGAACCCACACACATACGATGATTATACATTTGAATTGATTAAATCGGTTAGTAGTACCATAGTTTCCATAAATTAAAAACGAAAGTATGATTACAATAAAAAAATCGAAAAGATTACAAAAAGCCGGATGGCGTCCATGGAACAACAGTTATCATTTAGACAACTGTCAGGGATTTTTTTCCGGATTTTATTATTTTTATATGAACGAAGTATCCACGTGACTAAACCGACTTCAACATTTCATTTACTACTTTCCAATATATAACTGCTACATTCAAAATCGATCAACCATTACGATTTCATTAAAGGGAAGTAATCGTGTGATTAATTATTTACAATCTGATATCGAATTTTCCTCTCTTGGGTAATAAACAAACACGCGTCAATATTTACCAGACTTAAAAATACCCAATATGTAAACGATTTACAGAACTTAAGCATGTTAGTAGGTTGAAGTATGAAATGCAGTTATGTGGTATTTCATTTATGTAATAAAACCTGCCTGCATATTATTGCGTGTTTTCAACAGACAATCCCATCATTCATAAGCACGGATTGTGCATGTGTGTGAATTATTACTTCCTATTTTACTTTAAAAAAAAACAATAGAGAAGTAATATAAATTCGTTATATAAAGATTTTAAACAGATTATATGACGGTGTATTGTCGGTTGTTACTGGTTCAAAATCGATAATAAAAAAAGAACTAGCAATATCTATACAGGCGTAAAAAGGCGAAAAGTGGAAAACACGGAACAACAGCTCAGTCACTCTTTGTAATTAGAAGACGAAAGTTCGGAAATGCTCATGTCAAAAACACATATGTATCTTATCAAAAATATAAACACGAAGAAGTAAGAATTTAAATGAAATCTTTATATAATGAACTTAGCTCGGCAAAAGATAAAACATTATACATGTATCTTTGTGCTATGGATTAGCTCTGATAAGTTTCCGTGTATTTAATTGTACTTTTTGTGTCATTTTAACTGATGTCCGATCAATCTGTCTCAGATAACATAAAATTTAACTTTAATAATTGATCAAATGAAATTTATTGCTATATAGCCAAAAACGATGTTTGATAACATTGACCATATGCATATCTATAAACCAACAAAAGACTTTACTTACGCTATTTCTTTCAATGTTCCTTCTTCATACATAATGATTTCTTGATGTTTTGTATCATCAGTTTTTGTGTTATTTTCAGTTTGTCTATCTTGTTGTCCGTCGTGTGTTTCTGGTACACTGCTTTCTTTGTCTTCCACAGTTGGCACAAGTTCCTGTGAGTTCTGTATCTCACGTTCGGACGTTTCGGCTGGACTTTTAGCTATAGATAATTCCGGTGCTTCTTCTTGGACTTCTTTGTTATCATCCGGCGAAACATCATCGTTTTCATGCTTGTCTTCTTTTATATGAGCTAAAAGACGAGTTATTTCCGAATCATCTTCATCCCTTTGGCTATTTTCTGATTTGGAATCACTGTTTCCTTCATTGCCTTGATTCTCGTTGCTTTCAGGACTTGGACTTTTCCCTTTAGCTTCATTAACTGAGGATCCAACTATTCCTTCTGGTGAAAGGCGAACTTGACCATGTTCTGGATCTGGTGTCTGTGGATTACCTTTTCCCATTAGTTTTGCTATAATATCATCTCTCTTTTCAAGCATTGCTTTTAGAGAATTGATCTCAACTTCGTGTGATAATCGTTCATCTAGTAACTTTTCTTCAGCAAGCTGCACTCTTGCTTCACATTGCGCTACCTTCTCTTCAGCTTTGTCATTTTCTTGTCGCAGTTCTTGCAATTCATTCATGAATTTCTTGTTATTGTTTTGTAGAGTGATAATATCATTTTTACTTTCAGTCTTCAATTTTTCATGTTCAGTATTCATCTGTTCATACTGTCTTCTTAACTTCATTGCTTCATCTCGCCATTTTAAGATATCGTCTATGATATAATCACGTCCCTCCCTCTTCAGTGCTTTATCAAATTTTTCACTCCTTTCACTGTCATTTTCACTTTTTCTGAGATCGGATTTAAATAGTTCTAGGTCTTGTACTTTACGTTTCAAAGTCTTTACCATATCACCAGACGTTTTGTCTTTCTTCGCCTCGTTTAACCGTCCCTTAGCTTTTAGAATAAGCTCATCTACAACATTTATTTGCTGTCGGACTCTGCTAAGTTTAGTTAGCTTTTCGTTTTCTGAAATACAATCATGTCTGATTTTCTGAAGTAAACATCATGTCGGATTTTCTGGAATGCAATTATGCCGAATTTTCTTAATTAAACTATGTACACTGTTTGTTGTAGTTCTGGCTGATTCATGAAATGTTGTATTTGATGAGTGTGTTTTCAGGTTGAAAAGACGAACGACTATGTTTTCTTTCCGCGTTAAGGACTTTTCGCATCATTAGGTTTTCGCCCTATTACTTTGTTATGGTCCGACCTTTTTGCCCTTTTCAACCTGGAATCGCTCTCATATATAACATAACACCCAGTCAGCCTTTATTTATTTTGTACTTCATTGGCATCATCGAACATGTAAACAAATTCAAAATATATTTATGAATCACAGAGATTTGACATGTTTTGAAGAGGATAAATATATGGAAAGCTGTACTCAAAACTTTATATACATCGACATGTTACGTGCTGTATATTACGTTTCGCTAAATTTTGGCCAATTTGAAATTTTTATTTGAGTTGTCTATCATATTACCTGAATATTGTTCACATCTTTCAAACACTGCTTCCTTGAACTCGCAAAGTTTGGCTCGCATCTTTTCCAAGTGTCTGACGATATTATTAAAATAACCATCAACATTATTTACTGTTTTCTGAATGGAATCTGTCACCAAATTCACCGTCACTTCCCTGGAAATGGAACTTGTGCTGCTATAGTTTTGGGATGTATCGATAAATTCATCTATAGCGTTGGTATCAGTAGCAGCATCCTCAAGTTTTGCTATTACATTTTGTATGTCCTTAATTGCGTCAATGTCAGGATCATTGCGAGGTGTGACAGTTGCTACAAAATTAATAATGTAAATATTCTTAGCATAGCTTTATACTCATTGAAGTCTGTACACCTATGATCTATGTTACTATTTAGAAAGAAAATATGAAATACATCCTTGTTGATTCTTTTATTTAAAGGCAATATCTTTGTGGTGGTAATGGCGCTGGAACGAAAGAGATTATTTTAAACCAAAAACTTATATATCAGCACGTATATTTTGCAAGTAAGACACTAAGCTCCTTGACTTTTCGACTTTTCGATTTAAATTCTTGATTCTCTGACTTTGTTTTTTTTATTGGGTGTTACGTCACACCGACACAGTATAGGTCATTTGGCGACGTTCCAGCTTTACTGGTGGAGGAAGACCTCAGGTGCCCTTCCGTGCATTATTGCAGGCACGAACGGGCACCTAAGTAGAAACACCGACGTTTACATGACTTATTAAATCCTTACTTATAAGACAATTTTGACCACTTAGATGCCTGTGGTGTCTCGTAAATTTGCATTTCAATTCATGGTATGTATGTAAAAATTGTAACATTATATCTTGATTCATTTGGTTTCCTGTTATGTAACTGAAAACATTGTATATATTCACTGGATTCACGTGTCTGGTTTCAAGTTATATACATGAATACACGTGCAAAATGTATACAAACTTTAACCTCTACAGAGCAAAATCCCCAAGGAAACAGATATTTTTATTGGTGCTTAGGTTTTCTTTAGAGAGGTAAAATATAGTGGAAATCTTTATTTTGGGAAGAAATATTATTGTTGGTTCGGCAGAGGTCTAGTCTTAATGGGTTATACTGTATTCACATGGTGCGGCGTACAAATTAATACTTAACACGCGTTATCATGAGATAAATAAGGAAAAATAAATTAAGAATAGGGAAAATACATATGATTTAAACATAAGCGCGTGCTTTCACTACACAGTCATAAATTACAGTTACCGAGGCACCTCGCGAGGTAAGTATTTAAATGACTAAGCATAATAAAAAAAGATTAATCGTCGTTTTTCTTTCTTTCTCTTTTTTTTAATGAAAGTTTTGTAAACATTTTAGTACAGCGATACATGCGTTCAAAAATTTGGACATTCATTTTATGTGCAAACTATTATAAATTCCAGATTCTATTAACTCTTAGCTTGCTGAAACAGGAAGTGATAAGCCCTAGTCACCGGTACAGGCAAGACCAACCTGTACAGACGAGGCCAACCTGTACAGGCGAGGCCAACATGAACAGGCGATACCAACATGTACGCAGGCAAGACCAACATGTACAGGCGAGGCCAACCTGTACAGGCGATACCAACATGAACAGGCGATACAACATGTACAGGCGAGGCCAACATGAACAGGCGATACCAACATGAACAGGCAATACCAACATGTACAGGCGATACCAACCTGAACAGGGCGAGGCCAACATGAACAGGCGATACAATTTACATGTACAGGCAAGACCAACATGTACAGGCGAGACCAACCTGTACAGGCGAGGCCAACATGAACAGGCGATACCAACATGAACAGGCGATACCAACATGTACAGGCGATACCAACATGAACAGGCGATACCAACATGTACAGGCGATGCCAACATGAACAGGCGATACCAACCTGTACAGGCGAGACCAACATGAACAGGCGATACCAACATGAACAGGCGATACCAACATGTACAGGCGAGGCAAACATGAACAGGCGATACCAACATGAACAGGCGATACCAACATGTACAGGCGATACCAACATGAACAGGCGATACCAACATGTACCGGCGATGCCAACATGTACAGGCGATACCAACCTGTACAGGCGAGGCCAACATGAACATGCGATACCAACATGAAAAGGCGATACCAACATGTACAGGCGATACCAACATGTACAGGCGATACCAACCTGTAACAGGCGAGGCCAACATGAACAGGCGATACCAACATGAACAGGCGATACCAACATGTACAGGCGAGGCCAACATGTACAGGCAAGACCAACCTGTACAGGCAAGACCAACATGTACAGGCGAGGCCAACATGTACAGGCAAGACCAACATGTACAGGCGAGGTCAACCTGTACAGGCAAGACCAACATGAACAGGCGATACCAACATGTACAGGCGAGGCCAACATGTACAGGCGATACCAACATGTACAGGCGATACCAACATGTACAGGCGAGGCCAACATGAACAGGCGATACCAACATGTACAGGCAAGACCAACATGTACAGGCGAGGCCAACCTGTACAGGCGAGGCCAACATGTACAGGCGATACCAACATGAACAGGCGATGCCAACCTGTACAGGCGATGCCAACATGTACAGGCGAGACCAACATGAACATGCGATACCAACATGAAAAGGCGATACCAACATGTACAGGCGATACCAACATGTACAGGCGATACCAACCTGTACAGGCGATGCCAACATGTACAGGCGAGACCAACATGAACAGGCGATACCAACATGTACAGGCGAGGCCAACATGTACAGGCAAGACCAACATGTACAGGCAAGACCAACATGTACAGGCGAGGCCAACATGTACAGGCAAGACCAACATGTACAGGCGAGGTCAACCTGTACAGGCAAGACCAACATGAACAGGCGATACCAACATGTACAGGCGAGGCCAACATGTACAGGCGATACCAACATGTACAGGCGAGGCCAACATGAACAGGCGATACCAACATGTACAGGCAAGACCAACATGTACAGGCGAGGCCAACCTGTACAGGCGAGGCCAACATGTACAGGCGATACCAACATGAACAGGCGATGCCAAACCTGTACAGGCGAGGCCAACATGAACAGGCGATACCAACATGAACAGGCGATACCAACATGTACAGGCGAGGCCAACATGTACAGGCAAGACCAACCTGTACAGGCAAGACCAACATGTACAGGCGATGCCAACATGTACAGGCGAGACCAACATGTACAAGCAAGACCAACATGTACAGGCAAGGCCAATCTGTACAGGCAAGACCAACATGAACAGGCGATACCAACATGTACAGGCGAGGCCAACATGTACAGGCAAGACCAACATGTACAGGCGAGGTCAACCTGTACAGGCAAGACCAACATGAACAGGCGATACCAACATGTACAGGCGAGGCCAACATGTACAGGCGATACCAACATGTACAGGCAATACCAACATGTACAGGCGAGGCCAACATGAACAGGCGATACCAACATGTACAGGCAAGAGCAACATGTACAGGCGAGGCCAACCTGTACAGGCGAGGCCAACATGTACAAGCAAGACCAACATGTACAGGCGAGGCCAACCTGTACAGGCAAGACCAACATGAACAGGCGAGGCCAACATGTACAGGCAAGACCAACCTATACAGGCGAGGCCAACATGTACAGGCAAGACCAACATGAACAGGCGAGGCCAACATGTACAGACAAGACCAACCTATACAGGCGAGGCCAACCTGTACAGTGTACATCCAAACAGTTATACTAGGATGCCTCGTTGTTACTTTTGTGTGTTTATTGACCACCATTCAAGGTGCACTATGCCTCAGAAGCAGATAATTTGTTTCTGCTAAGGGCAAACATGAGTTTTATAACATGTAAATAATATTTTTACTTTAAGAGCCTATTAGAAGCTTATCACTTGAAAAAAGTAGCGCTGAATGTGAAATTATTTTTCATAAATGGTGCAAAATTGTAATAAAAATCGTTGTTATTGTGTTAATTGCCAAATGGAACAAAAGCAAAGGATGGTTCAAGTAATTTGTCAATGAGTTACATTTTTTGGAAACTATGACAGGAAGCCAAAAATAAAAATCTTTTGACAAATAGAAATAAAAGAATTTTTGGGACCATATATAATGGACCTTTAATATTCAAATAGACTGCTCCGTAATTATAGCAGGGCAAATCAAGAATACATTTTCAGCAGGTAAAGGTTTTAATATTAAACGACATTATATTCGAAATTCAATTTATGTGTAAAGCAAGATCCATTTTCACATAACATATTTCCTTATTGTAACTTTCACAGAACACATTTGTATGGTTGCATATTTCTGCCATCAGATAACCATATAACTAACTGGTTAACTAAGAGATTAACTAGTTACGTACAACTAGTTACGTAACTAGTTACCTCTTAATATTAAGCTGGTAAAATAATAAAAGGATGGCAGTTGTACTAACATGCATTTATTTCCCGTTATGATCTTTTATTTATTGAAAAAAAATAACTAGTTACGTAATTAATTAAGAGGTTAACTAGTTACGTAACTAGTTAGCTATCAGGTTATCTGGTAGCAGAAATATGCCACCATACATTCCCTTATTGATCATCCTATTTTAACCACAATATTGCTTTTTTTAAAATGGACGATATGATTATAATCTAAAATCATCTTACAGCAGCTCTACTATGGTCAAAAAGCCTAAACCATAAAACTTTTAAGTCTTACAAAATCATGTGAAGCACTTAAAACAGAAATATCTGCAAAAAATAAATAAAGAAATAAACTCAGAACTAAATTGAATATCGATTATTTTGTGATTCTTAGCCCATTTAGAATAATCGTTTCAACGTTTTCATAGTTATTGGTCCATCCCTACGTGAAATGGGGAAATTATTTCTTGGCTCGACATGTCAAAAAAACACCTCGGTTGAGTCCCTTTCAATATAAATGTATTATACTGCGTGTATTTCAATACTATATTTATAAAGATATTTAAGAACGAAGATATTATTACAGATTTCGTATTATTAAGTGAAAACTTTAAAATGTTTCCTGTTGATTTTAACTTACAATGAGTTACACGTATACATGTTTTATACTATATATAATTGTACCGGTTTGGTTTTTGATAGACCGGTACATATAATATGACCGCACTTAAAAGAAAAGAAGATTTTATTCTTTTGAATGTTTAAGTCTCGTCATTCGGTCTTTAACACTCAGAAACATATGTTTTACTTTAATATATTTGAGAATTCAGCTGATAGAGCGTTAAACAAATTGTTTAGTTTAACATGTACTGCCATGAAAGATATACAATGCTTTGGAAAATGATAAAATTCGTCGATATTCGTATAGATATAATTGAAAATGAGCAAAAAAATTTACTTTCTTCATTAATTAGTCCAGTCCCATCTGGATGATATTTTACTTGAGTTTTAATTAAGGCAATCGTTTATAAACACATAAGAAACACAGTAACAAAGCGTCTACTATGGGTTGTTAACACGTTAAAATGTTCAATATCTTATCATATAAAACATATAAGTAAAATATGTATATACAGAACATATAAATGAGCCGCGCCATGACAAAACCAACATAATGGGTTTGCGCAGTTTGATCAGGATCCATGCTGTTCGCTTACAAACCCTATAACAAGTAGAGCAGCATGGATCCTGATCAGACTGCGCGGATGCGCAGGCTGGTCTGGATCCATGCTGGTCGCAAACCCATTATGTTGGTTTTGTCATGGCGCGGCTCAAATTATGCTTTTACAATAAGACGGAATAGCTTTAAACACTAATTAAAATCAAGAATTACCTTTATTATTATTGGTACCTGAAACACTGGCTCCTGAACCCATCTTGATAATTTAATTCAGACATTTAAATTCACAGAAAAGAAACACTTTCATACATGTATATTTGACTTAATCGATCTCCTAAAATATGTTAATTATAACTATCATACAAAAGAATAAAAACTTTGAAATCTGAGCCGCATGTGGACCATGGATCATTGGGATCTTTTGTTTCTGGCGATATTGTTTTAAAAACATTCATTTAACAATGTTATATTAGAAAAGGCGTCTCGCTATACAAGACCGTAAGAAATATGAGGATATTGTCAATTTTTTACATTGAAAATACATGTGTGTCACCACTAAGAACTGAAATCCTCATGAGTAAACCATTATATGAAAACCATAACTAAATACAAATGTATAGACTTTTTAAAAATATTTGTTTTTTGTTTGTTTGTTTTTTTTGGGGGGATGGGGGTTGTTGTTGTTGTTTTGTTGTTTTTTTTGCACATAATGATCATCATCACTTAATTGCACCAAGTTTCTGTTCTTTATCTTTTTGATGTAGAATGATATGGACATATCATGCTCAGTTTATATCGATAATCGAAACGTGGTCTAACAATGAAACGCCATGGGTCTAACTTTGGTCACATTTTGTACTAATTAATCAAACAATACATCTTATTTATCGCTTATGGTTATTCCTGAGACTTTTTTGTATGGAATTCAATACATGCATCTTAAATGTATCGGAAAACTGTTGCGGTAACCGGTAACTTTTATTATAACCAGATATATAGCTAAATAATTTTTGATCGATTTTAGAAGTAAAATTAAAGACAAAACGTTTAAACTGAGACTTAAAAACATCATTTTAAATCCCAGGTTTAAGCAAATATGAGCCGTGCCATGACAAAACCAACATAATGGGTTTGCGACCAGCATGGATCCCGACCAGCCTGCGCATCCGCGCAGTCTGATCAGGATCCATGCTGTTCGCTTACGAACCATATAACAAGACGAGAAACTGATAGCGAACAGCATGGACCCGGATGCGCAGGCTGGTCTGGATCCATGCTGGTCGCAAACCCATTATGTTGGTTTTGTCGTGGCGCGGCTCAAATATAAACGTTATTGTAATAAAGTACATGACTGTTTAATGTACAAATCGAATATCGAGACATTGTACAAATCAATATACTATACAATTGCGTATTTAATTCGCGAAACAAATATTTGAAATTAAGTTTAAAGTGTTTTCCCCCTGACGTAATATCATTAAAATGTGTGTAGGTGTAGTTTCGTATGCATCGGTTAAACAGACTTTATAATCAATACACAATACATAATTATAATATGTACACCTATATTAAACATAATTCATCTTCAAATCATTTCCTTAAAAACGTTATTCTGCTATTTGTAGCTGCATACTACATGACAGAAAACAAAGTCCCGCAAAAATTACCAAGTTTACAGTTTCTACAGTGTTTATCAGTTAATACATGTATAACTTGACCATCCTTTTGTATCCGCATATTTGAAATGCCTTTGAAACTCACGGATGGTATTTCCCATTGTTACAGTGTCAACAAATGTATCACATCACTAATGACGCCACGGAAATTTTAAATCCTGTGCAAAATCTAAATAATAAACTTGTATCAGACTAGAAAAAAATTGTCAGAGCGCATCGGGGTAAAACATTCGTATGAGATTTTGACAAAACCGCAGATGTGGATGGGATACCCCCACTCCAAATAATTAATATATCTATATAATATACATGTATATAAACCGTTAAAACTTGTATGAGCTAGTCTACTTTAAGTTTAAAAAAAACATATTTCAACCTTTACATAAACAGTCTCGCATGATTATTTTTCTTTCAAACTTGCTCAAAATAAGTAAATAAATAATGTATAGTTTACTTTCATATCATTTAATCAACCGAGGAGTTTTCATGTACACACTTTGATGAAAGAACACACGCTTCAGGTCAATCGGAGCATGGCAAGTTTGACGGAAAGGGCCGATGGCTTCAAATTAGCCCGACCGGCGTTTCACGGTAACAGTTTAAAATTTCCGAAACTTTTAAATATTTTCTGAATCTCAAACATATTTTCATAGCTTTAGTAACGATTGATTTGTGTACCCGAAATATAATAATGATCAAGTAATGTGATCAGAAAGATAGATTTTGTAGATAGGAAAATTTGTAGGCTAATAAAATACTATTTAAAGAAACAGATACATTTTACAGTACCTCCAACAAAAAGTTTATAGTACACGATATGTAGTATATAATAAAGGAGTGTCCCATGACTTAAGAGATTAATTGTTATATCTAAAGTCGAGGTCAGTTATACTTTTATATCAAAACAATTCGCCAAATTATTATCACCATATTATATAAACCGGACATAATTTCTAAAACAGCATTTTACTTAGTCATGAAGTTTTTTTTTATAAATATAAAGTTCAAACCTAACGCTAACAGTTCTTTGCATGCATATCTGATGATATGTAAATATTTTATCACGGTTCATGTCCATTAAATCTGAAGCGTTCAATAATCTCCAAGACAACCAAGTAAATATTGATAAAATAACATCGAGGTAAATGCTTAAATAAAGCATGAACACATCGAATATTTCTCCTAGCTTGTCATAAGAACAAAGTTAATGCTAATGCAAAGTGAAACATATCCATTGTGCAGGTAGTCAATTTGTTATTTAAAACAAGTGCGGGACAATGCGCGTGTATTGATTCCTGCAATATCTTACAGTATGACAAACCTTAATTTCGTAGTAAGTAAGTAACGACTTTATTTAATGAGGCTAGCACATTCGGTTTCCCGATCTTCCATGTGGGCCGTAGCGGTAAATTATATTTAAAAGAAAGGTTTGCTATACAAAATCCAGTCGAATTACCTGTGCATAAATTGTAATTTATTACTCGTTTATATATTCTTTATTTGATAGAAATGGGTACCAAGTAGATTTATGTGGTGGGATGCATGTTGACTTGGCGTTATACTCGTGGCATATACTATCACGTGATTTGTAAATAAAGTCTGTATAAGCAAAAGTTTAGAAATCTATTTCTTGCATATCAGACTGGCGTTTCCGTTAGTTTTACCCATGCCGGAAATTTCATCTGGCATGGGGGGTTCCAGATGAGTCGCGTGCTGTACAATGGCACGATAAAGATGACGTCATTTTACCGTTATGAATGATTTTGTAATTCATACGCTGTTGAATGAAAGTAGTTACGGTTGTAATGATATAAATTTTCATTGAAAATAAAGATAAAGAATTTAAAATATAATGGAATATGGTAGAATATGCAAGAAAAAATATCTGACATATGTTTGCGGTTCGGATCGGAATATCCGTCCCTCGGTCACCCTCCCATGGGCGGTAACTCGGCAAGCCTCGTTACCGCCCAATGGGCGGGTCACCTCGGGACGGATATTCCGTTCCGAACCGCAAAATATGACAGATATTATTATTCTGGCACCCCTGACCTTCACCCACTGACTCCTAACTCAATCAATAGAAAGAGGACAATGCAAGATATGTTCCTATCAAATATGAAAAACGTATGTCCATAAATAAAGTCTGTATGGGAAAAAGTGTAAAAATCTATTTTTAGCAGTGGTGACCTTGACCCAACTGACCTCTAACTCCATCCAAAGAAAGAGGACAATGCAAGATATGTTCCTATCAAATATGAAAAACGTATGTCCATAATAAAGTCTGTATGGGAAAAAGTGTAAAAATCTATTTTTAGCAGTGGTGACCTTGACCCAACTGACCTCTAACTCCATCCAAAGAAAGAAAACTTCTCAATTTTAGGTTTATCATTATCATTAAGGTTTATTATTATCATTCTACAAACATTAATATGAAAAGATCAGTCAAAAAATAAAGGCTGTATAAGCAAGTGTGTAGAAATCTATTATAACTGGCACCCTTGACCCTGGCCCACTGACCCCTGATTCAGTCCAAGGGAAGAATACCATGCAAGTAATCTTCCTTCCAAATATGAAATATACCTATCAATAGATAAAGGAGGCATGGGCGAAAATGTAAAAACCTATTTTTAGCAGTGGTGACCTTGACCCAACTGACCTCTAACTTCATCCAAAGGAGGAAGACTTCTCAATTTTAGGCTCCTACCAAATATAAAAGACATCTGTCAATAAAAAAAAGTTAACGTGTAAAAAACTTTTTGATATTGGTGACCTTCACCTTGATCCAAATGAACCCTAACTAAACCCAAAGTAAGAAAATATGAAGTCATTTGTACAGATAGAACTTTAGATATATCCAACTTGCCAGTTTAGGTTAACTATATCCATTTTCAGAGTGCTGTAAAGGGTATTAACTTAAGAAAAAATTCATTAGTACAGGTTTATGTTTGTTTGATTGGGTTTTCAGTAACAACAACACAGTATAGGTCATTTGGTGACATTCCAGCTTTACTGGTGCAGCTTCGAAGACCTCAGGTGCCCTTCTGTAAATTATTTCAGTCATGAAGGGGCACCTGATTAGAACCATCGATGTTCCGTAAGCTAGCTGGATAGCTTCCTCACATTAAAGAATCCAAAGTCCCTGTCAGGATTCAAACCTACAGAGGTGAGGTGCAAGTGGTTTGAAATCGACGACCTTAACCACTCGGCCTGAGGACGCCCCTATTAGTACAGGTAGAACTTAAGATAAATCCAACTTGGCATTTTAGACTAACTTCATAGTTTATAACGACGGACAAGCAGACAGATGGTTGAGCAGACAGACGGACAGTTCAATTACTATATGCCTGGGCGGGGCATAAAAAACCAAAAACAAAACATGAAAAAAACTAAATAAACAACCAGCAACATTATGTCTGATATTTATTGGTGATTTAAAGTTATATCAAATTTCTACCATGATTGGTCTTGTTTCTTAATACTTAAAAAAAAAAAAAATACTAGATTTGGTTTTTAAATTTTTTCACTTTTAAAATTTTAAAAGTAGAATTTTTTGAGAAAATTGCAACTTCCCTGAAATAAAAAACACAAAGTATTTTACAAATTGACTTTTACAAAAAGGCCCAAACAAATTAAAAAGATTTAGACTCGAGTAAACATACACACAAAAAAAAATGCCTTTAACTTCATTTCTTTTAATTTTTTAGCAGCTTTAAACTTATTTTAAAAAACTTTTACTTTTACTTTTCTTTTCTTCTAAATTCGTTTTTTTTTGGATGACTAAAATTAGAAAGGGAAAATTTTTTATTAAAAACTTTTTCCTAATTTTAAAAGAAAATATTTAAAATTCTTTTACTAAGGGTAGGGGGTTTTATGTTTAATTTATCAAAACTTAGAAATTAAACTTTTTTGTGACACAAACATTTTACTGTACCATGATAGAGCTGAATGGTTCTTATAAAAAATAACAAAACCCGTAATCAACCATATCCCATGGAAACAAATGATGCTAATGTAGTACTGTACCAGTCAAAAACCTTCCTTAAATGAGATAAAGCCAGTTTGGAATAGCATAATTAATTAATTGAAACATTTTTTATTACTTTTAACTTTGGTCAAAAAATACTACTCATTTTTTCAATCCTAATTTTAATATAATTTTCTATCAAAATGTTCGCATATTTAAACATAGATATATAAATGTTTATACTATAACAAAGTGTGCATATTGAAGAAACTTCACAGAAATGTAAAATTAATAGATATTTATGTAAATTTGAATTAAAAATGATACGTATACATTAAGCAAATAAGTACATGATGAAAATTAAAAACCAAATACAAGAAATTACTGCATTTTAATCAGACATTTGTTTAAATGGTTATTTTTCTCATAACCAACACATGTCGCAATGTTTTAAAGATCATTTTTATGCTAATTCTTGCAATATCTCCCTCAACTTAGGTTCACTTGCTCCAACCAAGTCTTTAACCTGAAATGTGAAAAAAAACAGTCCAAACTTTTTTACATATCCTTTGATACCTTTTCTATTTATTAATTTTATTTTATTTTTTAGAAAGGGGACGGGGTAGTCCAACTAATTGTATTACGCGTTGAGATATTGTGCTATTTTGAGAATGGGCAATATCTTCCCTGGAGATTCTAACCCAGAACAAAACATATCGCAGAATCTAGCTTTGGCACATCAATATATTTTGACTGGGGACGGGGGGGGGGGGGGGGGTGGGCGGGGGTGGGGGGGGGGGGGGGGGGGGGGGGGGGGTGGGGGGGGGGGTTTGGGGGGGGGGGGGGGGGGGGGGGGGGTGGGGGGGGGGGGGGGGGGGGTTTGTCAGATAGTTTTCTTACTTAATATCATTAGAATTTTCTGCACACTGATACACTAACAACTATTGTCATGATGAAAACAAAATTTATCCCACAGAGCCCCCCTACATAGGCATTCTGGTGAAGCGTAATCATAAACAGGAGCTGGGAGAGGCATTTATAAGCTTTATTAGCTTTCTGCCCAATCCCAAAATGTATTTGTAAATATTGTTCACTTGTATAAACTGTTTAGGGTTTTGAATAAATATGTTTAAACCCCAAACAGGAGGGCTGTTCAACTAGGACCATTTCACTAATGAATTCAAAAAGGCTATAGTTAAAATCCATACCACAACATATTAGCCCTAAAAAAAATGACCCGCAAAAAACAAGCATAAATTATTAAATACCTTTCAAAAGTTTTGAAAGACTGGATGTTGAATGCAAAAACTTAAACCTGTAATTTTCTATATTGATAAAAGGCCAGACTTTTAATTTCAGTCAAAATCTATGTAAAAGTTATGAGCATTTGGCAGTGATCATGTGATACCCAACACATGTATTAGGTTTGATGGAGCATGCAAAGCTTTAAACAGAGTAATGGTCCTTGGAAAATTACCTCAAAATATTCCAAACACATGTTATAAATTTCAAGAGAATACTTTTAAGTAATTAAGAAATTTAAATGATGTTGCACACATAAAAGGATCTTTATAAAATTCACTAAAAGGGCCTAATTCAGTTTAAAATTGGGTTTTAAAAAGGGTTTTGAAACTTGGCCTTGAAGTGAACCACCAAACCAATCTGATTTATTTTAGTTTGAAAGTTGTTTAATTAAGATGCCAAGTAAAAATGTTTATAAAAACCGACCATATAGTAACTTTGAATAGTTGAGTAAAGTTAATAAACATTGCATTTACCTGTTTCTTATTCTTGTAAAACTTGAATGTTGGCATAGCACTAATACCCTGCTCTTCTGCGACCTCCTAAAACATGTATAATTTCTATTAGATTACAATTAGTTATAGGTCATATAAGTGATTGTTTGTCTGCTTTGTCACTTAAAATGAAATTGAATCTGTCTTACTCTGGTGTGCTACAGCTATGCAACACATTTACTGCATTTACATTGTGGAATGATTCTTACTTGGACAAAACAATAACCATCACAATAAACCTATTTAGACTGGTTATTGAAATTATGTAATGAATCTCTTTACAGATTGTATGATACACTGATATAACAAATAGTGTTCTATGAAAGCTGATTAAACAAACAATAGCCACCACAAGGCAAAGGCCAATAATGGCTTATCTGAATTTCTACAGTCAAGCACACGTGAAAGTATACTGTAGTAAAGAATACTTCTAGAAAACATAACTGTCTTGAACAAATAGTAATTTCAAATTTCATATTTGACCTTGATGGTCAAGGTCATTCACAGGTCAAGGTCACTTTTAAATTATCATGTTGGCTTTGTCATATTTTATTTGCTGTTCCTTTTTTTCATGAAAACAAAAACCAAATTTAAAAAACAAAAAGTGTTTATGAGAAAAAATTAAAACAAACTTCAAAAAACTTTGGCCCTTTTATAGTCAAATCAATTAAAGGTTAATCAAAACCCAAATTTAAAAGGGTTTAAAATTTATATCCCGGATAATTAAAAACGTCAGTTTTGTCATTATATTTTTTTTGTCCCAAAAATGAACCAAAAACCCCTAAAAAAAAACCCAAGTTATGACAAATAAGCAGATTTCAATAATTTTACCTGACAATTAAGATGAAATAAAGATCAAGGTTACTTTTTAATAATTCAACATACAGGTTTTGTAAAAAGGGTTCTTTTGTCCAAGTAAATAACCATGATAAGACACTAAGCTAAATTCAAAACTTGACCTTGATGGTCAAGGTCAATTAAAGGTCAAGGTCATTTACTTTACATTTCAATAGCAAAGTTATGGCCAATTGTAGCAAAATTCACTAATTTGACCTTAGTGTCAAAGACAAATTAAAGGCAATGACAAGTTAAATCAAATCTCCTTTTAATGTCTTCTCCTAAGGATTGTTGTGCCCAAGAACAAAGGCAATCCATTAATTACATACAATAATATAATTATCCAATTGTAGCAAAAAAAAATGTGAAGATACAATAATTTGTCTTTCAAGATTAAGGTCATTATGTGTCAAGGTCAAATTGCGTTTGGTCGTCTTGGTGACATTGTCCTTAAGGTTATGAAGACATGCCAATGATGCCATACAAAAGTAAGAAAGTTTTAGACAATTTTATCAAAAATCAAGCAAAATTCAATACTTTGACCTTCAAGATCATTAATTAAAAGATGGTCAAGGTTAATCAGTGTTGCATCTAGAATTTCAAAATTATGGGGGATTGTCCCCCACTCAACTGAAAAATGTGGGGGGACTTGAAAAAAATGTGGGGGACATACATTTACCTTACACTATGACTTATCGAAAAGAATTCATTTATTTAACGTTCAGGCATTTTTGACAGCTATCGTTCGCTCAAAAACAGAAGTAGAAAAAATAAAATATTGACGAATACTACAAAACACACGCGAGATGACCCAGTCGTCTGCTACACGCTTTTTAGTACGTATTTTAGTCATTACCACAAGTGAAAATGCGCGATCTGCATAAAATATGCGCAAATCGCAAAATCGCGCATCAAAGATGCAACACTAGGTTAATTATTTAATTATTCTACTTGAAGACCTTATCCAAATAAATTGCTCTTGCCTAAACAATGAAAAACAAAACAATTTGATCTATCACGCAAAACATTTGGTTTACAGTTCTACTGGATGTTAATACTAAGATAATTGAGCCGTGTCATGGAAAAAAAACCCCAAAATAATGAGTTTGCGACCAGCATGGATCCAGACCAGCCTGCGCATCCGCACAGTCTGATCAGGATCCATGCTATTCAGTTTCTCTACTTGTAATAGGGTTTGTAAGCGAACAGCATGGATCCTGATCAGACTGCGCGGATGCGCAGGCTGGTCTGGATCCATGCTGGCCGCAAACTCATTACGTTGGTTTTGTCATGGCGCGGCTCATATATTTTAAGAATAAGTTTATCAAAATTTTATTACCGCATTCTCATCCACATCTACTTTAGCAAATTTTATGCTTGGAAACTCACTTTCCATTGCCTGAAAAGAAAGAAGGAATTATGAAAGTTCAGAAAATTATTAAAACTGCTATGATAAAGTTTTTTTTACATTTTAACAAAGTTTGACATAGTCTACAGGTCATAAAATTAAAATGTCATAAAATATGAACAATACTGAGGACAAACCATCCAAGGACAAGTTATATAAAACTGGGAAAAAGATGGCTCAAGAAACTGAAAAGGTCTTTTTTTGACAAAACGATACTTACCTCAAATTTAGGGCCAATCATTTTACAAGGACCGCACCAGCTTGCTGTAAAATCTACAGCTACAACGCTATCTCCTGCATCTGAATGGAACTTGTCCCAATCATCCTGTATTAGATACAAATTACAAATTAGTCAATTGTATGTAATCTATAAATCATATTCACACACTGTGACAAAAAGGGGTTGGATCATGACCAATATAGGTTTAAATGTTCCAAATAAAAAAAAGGTATATTTTCCCAATTTCAAGTAGAAAATTCCAATTTCAAGAAAAAAACAAGAACAACACTAAAAACAAAAATGGGTCAAAGACAAAAAAGGCTGACAAAATATCATGAGGCTGTGATGTTATGAAAAAAATTTGTAATCTATTAATGTCAAAAATTTAATTCGGTAAAGAGGAAGTGGATAAGAGACAAAACTGAAATCGAATCCCACAATATGGGACCACCAGTTAATGCTGTATGCAAAATATCAAGAGGCTGTGATATGAAGTTACTGAGAAAACTGTTACAAAATTTCCTACCATTGACCATTTATGTCAAAAACTTAACTAAGTCGGTAAACATGAAGTGGATGGGCAACAGACCTGAAATCAATTCCCACGCCATTGGAACAATTGTTAATGCTGTATGCTAATGTCAAGAGACTTTGATGAGTATTTTCTAAAAAAAACTGTTACGAAAATTTCCTACCATTGACCACTTTAAATGTCGAAAATTTAACTAAGTCGATAAACAGGAAAAGGCTTGACATAAACTATTACAAGCCTGTAACGTCCGATATATTGGACTAAAGGTGACCAACACTAAGAAGTCTTTGACTCTATCTCAATCTATTTGGAAGTTGCAGCACTTTGAAATCAGTTTTGATAAAACAATTAACGTAAAATATTTTTCGGCAATTTTGAGATGCCCCTCCCCTCGTTGCCATGGCAACAGGAAATTTAAGATGCTGTTTCAAAGGCAATGGTGCAGTCAACATTTGTGCCAAGTTGATGAATTATTGATACATCTTTTATAGTTTCATAGCAATTTAACAGACATTTTTCACAAAATGCACGCGCAGTAGTGGCTAATATATATAGTGGCTAAATCTATCATACAAATCATTTATTGAAAACAAAAATACGTTTTTAATACATTATATCGAAGATAATCTTATTTTCGTAGACACGATCTTATTTTCGCTTTTCACAGCAATTTGAGCTATTTTCGTACGTATGTATTTTCGGCTCAAACTACACTTTTTAAAATATTTTTTGGGCTCTGAAATTTTATTTTGCTGTTAAATCATTAAAAGAATGCATAAATATATAATTAACATAATTATTGAAACAGATAAATGCAGTATTTCAAAAATAAATCTTATTTTCGTAGCCAAGATCTTATTTTCGCGTCAATAACTAATTTTCCACAGACGCTTGGGGTTTGGAGCTCAAAACGCCTTTAAAATCCAAATAAAATGCATATTTGTCAATCCCAGGACATGTACTGATCATATATATCAAAAAATCTTAATATATGCCGTTTTGAAAAAAAATCATATTTCAACATCTATAATAATACACAAGATAAAAATGTTCGCGGAAAAAATCCGCACCCTACCGTCATAATCACCATGTATTTTAATCCATTTCCAATATTTTCACATAATCCTTTGGTCCATTGACACAGAAGATATAATTCTTCACGATGATAGTCAATTTTTAAACTTCAATGGTAATATAAACAACGCAACAGCCGAAATAACATCAATATTCTCGCCGTTTTTTTTTTCAACGACAAAAACTTTCGATAAATTCAATGGACCAGACGGCTATGAACGAAGCTTTCCGATTATGTGGCCCCAGCTTTGCCGTGTGCAAAATGCGCAGCGCTTTTAAGTTTGGGAACAAATATGCATTTTATTTGGATTTTAAAGGCGTTTTGAGCTCCAAACCCAAGCGTCGGGGTAATTTTTTTGGGGATCCATTATACCGCCCCCAAAAATTTTTTTTCTCATCTTTAAGGGGGAAAGCCAAATGTAATTTTCCCTGATACATTTTATTACAAAATTCCCTGAAAAAAGGTTTTAAAAAAAAATAAAGGGGGAAAAAAAAATCTGATGAAGGGTTTGGGTTAATTTTTAAAAAATTTTCAAAACCCTTTCCCTGCCCCAAAAAAATAAAAAGTCCCTTCCACCCAAAAATATAACATCGTACAAATATTTTCAAAACGAATGAATGTCAAAAAATTTTTTTCCCTTTTTTAATTTTTTTTTTTTTGAAATACGGACCCAATGTCATAAAAAACGGGGGGGAATCGTTTCTACCCGGAGGCGGGGTCCCCTCAGTGGAGGGGAAAACGTTAAAACCAAAAATTTAAACCACATATTATAAAGGGCCTTTCCAAATTTTTTCAAAAAACCTCTAAGCATTAAGGAAATTTTTTTTTAAAAATAAAAAAGAAAAAATATCTTTTAAAAATTCTTTTAAAATAAAGTACACCTTTTAAACTTTATGTAACTTTCCCGTAAAAAATTTTTACTAAAATTCCCCAAATTAAAAAAAACTCTATTTTCCCTCTTTTAAAAGAACAACACCCCTTTTTAAAAACCCGATATGGCCTCCCTTTAAAATAAAGGAACCCAATCTAAAAAACCCCTTTAAGTATTCTTAAAATTTTCCCAAATGTTTTGTTTAAAAAATGGGGGAAAAGGATTGTTTAAAATGGGCTATCCAACATGACAAAAGGGAAATCCAACACGATGCCCGGTACCTACTTTTAAGATAAAATTTTTGGGGGCGTAAATTTTTTCATTTTTACAGAAAAAGTTAAAAGGTGTATTTTTTCGGGGCTTAAAAAAGGTAATAGCAATTTTTTAAAGAAATTACGGCTAATAAAAAATATGTATTGTAAATAATTTTTTTTCCTATGCACTGTTTTAATTTTCCAGCCAAATTTGCCGGGAAAAAAAAAACAAAAATCCCAAAAAAAAAAAAGGAAAACCCCTTTTTCCCAAAAGTTCCCCCCAATTCCCCCTTTTTGAAAAAAAAAAAAAAAAAGCCAAAAAAAAAAAAAAAAAAAAAGGTTTTTTTTTTTTTTAGAAAAAGTTAGGGGTGAGATTTTGGTACTTATACGATACCCTTTTAAAAATGGTCGTTGCCTCAAAACAGAAATTAAAAAAAATAAAAGGGAAAAAATGACCCCTTTCTTTTTCCCGATTTTTTATTTTGAAATTCGTTTTTAAATTTTTGTATAATTTTTTCCCAAAAGGAAAAAATTCCCTTTAAAAGGGGGAAATTTTCCGAAAGTCACCCTGAAAATTGGTTTATTTGTTGGGGGGATTTTACGAAAAGGACCAATAGAAATGGTTCCCCTTGCGGAAAGCCCCATTTTATTTATAGATATTTTGAACCAAAAAATATTTTCCTTTTTCAAATTCTATTTAAAAAAACCATGTTATTTTAGGCTTCAAAGAAACGGACTTTTTCCCGTCCTTTTTTGTCAATAGTTTTAAAATACATATCCCGAAATTTAGACCTTTTTTGGGTTAATTTTTCCCCTTTTAAAACCACAAAAATTTAGTCCCAAATTTTTTGTATTAATTTTTTATAAGATAAGTAATAAGATAATCTTTTTTAAATTTTGTATAGTCGGTTTATAAAAAAAATATAAAAATTTTGCTATATAAGCCCTTTTCCCAAAATATTTTTTCCCTCCCTATTGAAACCAAATTAAAAATCAACACCCTGGCCTTGATTTTAAAATGTGTTGTTATCATCTGCTTGAATGCTCTCACAAATGTCAAAAACTGTTATTATTGGGTTAGTGTATAAAATAAGGTGAGAAGTGGTTAAATTTAAATAGCTTTCAGCATACTGAGTATATATGTGCTTGTATAAAAGGGTAGTCAGACTATTCTCTCCCTTACCAATTCTTCCCCCGACGTTTCCTCCCTGACGGTCTTCTCCCTATTTTTGGGAAGAACTGTCTGAATATTTGCAAATAAGCAGACAGATCCTCCCCATTTTTTTTTATTTATACATTAATTATTATTGAAGTATTTAGATATGTAATAAGTGGGTAACGTGGGTAAGTTTATTATAAATTTATATAAATTAGAAAAAATATTTTATTGAAGTGTTTACTGCAGATGTTAAATAAATGGGTAAAGTTTATTATTAATTGATATAAATTAGAGAAAAAATACTTTATTGAAGTATTAAGATGTTCGATAAATGGCCAGGTACTTTGGTATATTAAATGAAGTAACGAGTTCAATACACATGTGTGTTAAGTTTGTTGTCAGAGATAATTGAGGTGTTTATTAATGCATTACTCAAGAATCAAGGTGTTGATTAAATAAAAATAGCTGTGAATAAGAGTTTAAGCATAGGTATTTTTATTAGTTATTTGGTATTATATATTGTTTCATGATAACGACATGTTCTTTTATCAATTTTGTATAAAAGTAAATGTGAAATGTGATTGCATACGAGTTGTTGCTTATTTATTTTCTAGAACATAGTTGTTACCACCTTATTCCCTATTTAACAAATGAATGAATATCACCAGATCTTAACATAATTACAGGTGTATATCAATCACTGCCCAATTAACTTAATCTCTCACATTGAAGGTGTTGATAGGATTAACATACCTGAAAAAGGTATTAAATTTACAAACACTTTACAGATAAACATAAAATGCACTTAATATCAAACACAATCTTTTGATAATCTTCATTAAGATTTTTTATTAGATTAAGTCAAAACTAAAATGGTAACTTATAAAAAAAAATTGACGGAGAACTGTCTGCATTTTTCAAATTTGGGAGAGAACCGTCAAGGGGGAAATAGTTAGGGAGAGAACCGGGGCCCGGGGGAAAGGGTTGGTTTAAAGGGGGAGGGGAAAGTGTTCATTTTTATAAAAGAAAAGATAAATTTTTTTTAACATTTCCCATGTAATTTTAGATATATGTTTTGGTTTTAACCCTGTATATTTTTTTTTAATTTCGTTTTAAAAAAAAAAAAGTTTAAACCCCCAAACAAATATAAAAATGTTTTTTTGATATAGAATTTTTCTTTAATAATATTAACCTAGACTAAAAAAGAAAGCAATGTGACGGGTTTTTTTTAAAGTTT